TGGTTGCAGCCGTCATTGTTGTTTGGCGGGCCCAGGCTGGATTCGAACCCGCCACCTTGGATGTACGTGGCTGGCGCCTTAGCCACTTGAGCCACAGGTGCCAAGCCACTTCCTGGTACTCTTCCTTAGACACAGAAACTCTGAGGGTCAAGAGGCCAAAGGCTCCAGTTTCTGCAGTTCTCTCTTTTGTCCTTCTTATCTGCCAGGGCTTTATATTCCGTCTCAAAGCTTGTTTCCCTGAGCTTTTTTTCACTTTGGCCCTAAACTTTTTTCAAAAAAACTTGGTCCCAGCCACTTAGACCCAAGATTGCCTAAGTCCTAGGGCCCAGGAATCCCAGCTTCCGGGGGTCTGGAATCATGTTTATCATATTTATAAACTTTGTAAATAATCACATCTTAACCGCTAAAACTTTTTTATCTTCCTAGATTCAGGAAAGAAACATACTAATTTTTAAAAATTAAATTTGCTTTGGGGAATTTTAGATGGTAATTGAAGACATTTTAGATCAGGGATCTTAGTCCTTTTGCATGTTCTAAAACTATATGCAAAATTTTTTGTGTTATGTGTAGCTTATTTGCAAGTAAATCCATAGATTTTATTAGCTTCTCAGAGGAATCTATGGCCCAAAATGATGAACAACCACTGCCTTAGATCAAGCACCAGAAAGCATGATGGTACAGTTATGAAAAGACTATAAACCTCTTATTGCCTGACCACACGGTATCATGATAATCAGCAATGATCAAGTATCTGTTAATTAAACTTCAGAAAGGCTTTTTAAAGGAAATAGGCCTCATTCATAAGATAGCTCACCTTCTAAATGGGGAGACAGGACTAACACAAAACAAAATTACTACACATAGAAAATCTAAATGACAAGCTTATGAATATTTTATGATGAGGTTAGCAGTGCTAAAAGGATTGTTCAAGAGCATATGGGTCTATGGTTTTGTCTGGGATACCTTCAATGTGGAAGTGGCTTGAAAGAAAAGCAGAGGGAAAGAATTTCCCATTTGGAAATGGCATTTGCTTACGAAGTGAAAAGAAGAAACCCTAAATGGAGCCTGTGAACTTATTTGCTGGGCTGAAGTATGTTACTGAAATTTCCTCCTTCAGTAGATCCTTGGTCTTGGAAATTAGAAGAAGGAACTCAAAGACCACAGATCAGTGGAAAGATAGAATTTATTAGACAGAAAGGAATAGAGGAGTAAAAGCACTAGAGCTTTTACTCTGGTAAAAGGGAAAAACCCAAGTCAGAAGTCTCAAAGGATGTGGGTCCTTTGCCTAGGAGTATATATAGTAGTCTTAAGAATTACTTTTGGCTCGGCGCCTGTGGCTCAAGCGGCTAAGGCACCAGCCACATACACCTAAGGTGGCGGGTTCGAATCCCCAGGCCGGACCCGCCAAACAACAATGATGGCTGCAACCAAAAAATGGCCAGGTGTTGTGGCGGGCGCCTGTAGTCCCAGCTACTTGGGAGGCTGAGGCAGGAGACTCGCTTGAGCCCAGGAGTTGGAGGTTGCTGTGAGCGTGATGCCATGGCACTCTACCCAGGGGGGCAGCTTGAGGCTCCGTCTCAAAAAAAAAAAAAAAAAAGAATTACTTTTGGGGGTGGCACCTATGGTTCAGTGAGTAGGGCGCTGGCCCCATATACCAAGGGTGGTGGGTTCAAACCCAGCCCCAGCCAAACTGCAACAAAAAAATAGCCGGGCGTTGAGGCCGGTGCCTGTAGTCCCAGCTACTTAGGAGGCTGAGGCAAGAGAATCACCTAAGCCCAAGAGCTGGAGGTTTCTGTGAGCTGTGATGCTATAGCACTCTACCCAGGGTGACAAAGTGAGACTCTGTCTCTAAAAAAAAAGAATTACTTTTGGCCAGGACTTGGTAGATGGAAAAACACTTTTTCAAAGTTAATGAGTGTATCAACAAATGAATGAATGCAGTCTCTCTCTGCAATGTTAAAATGAGCATAATAGGTCTTTGCAAGTTTTTGCTTCAAAGAAGGAATTAGGGTGTGTGCTCCCTATGCAAGGTGGAACCACCCAGAACCTTTCAGGCTGCCTTGTTCATGACCTTGCTAGAGCCCAGAGAGTGTGGCCTGGAAAGGGTAATCTGTTTGTACCTAGAGATGTGGGTCTGATTTCTTAGCTAACCTGGGCCTAGAGAATGGGAGGTTGGCAGGGGGGCCCTGTCCAGTCTTGAGTGGCAGAACCCTGTACCAAGTGGACACTTTGCCCTTTGTAAATAAGACAAAGCACTCAAATGAATCCTAGTATTAGTAGCTCTGCAGACAGTGGGATTTATGGTAGGGCCATATATAGGCCTTCAGAAAAAACCCAAACTACTTAAGGTGCTAAGAACACAAGTACAAGAAAAGTATTTTGTGTGGTTTGGTATGACTAATTTATGTTTACCAATGTTTACTATTTACTAATGTTAATGTTTGGGATTGTTCATGGACATCTTAAATATTTGTGAGGATTTTTCCCCCAGACACTCATATAGAAGGAGCAATTTGCAAGAAGACTAACTTGCTATAACTGTAATGTTTCATATGTGTCAAAGGAAAGAATGGCAACCTAAATGCCTGTGGCAGTACCACTCAAAGCTAGTGTATATGTGTTGATGTGTATGTATTTACATTTATATGAAAATATGAACTATGATACATATAATTATTTTGAAAAGATGGAGTCTTGCTATGTCACTCAGGTTAGAGTGCAGTGGTGAGGTCATATCTCACTGCAGTGTTGAATTACTAGTCTCAAGCGATCCTCCTGCCTCAACTTCTCAAAGGGCTCAGATTATAGGTATGAGGCGCTGTTCTATGCCAGATACATATCATTTTGTGTATATGTGTACACACATATACACACATACACACTAAGAATTTTTATTGGGTCTGGATAATGTTTACTATTCAAGATATGGGACAAACTCCTTTAGCCATCATGGAAATATCTTCAAAACCAGACATTTGGCTCGGCACCTGTGGCTCAAGTGGCTAAGGCACCAGCCACATACACCTCAGGTGGCAGGTTCAAATCCAGCCCCGGCCCACCAAACAACAATGACGACTGCAACCAAAAAAATAGCCGGGCATTGTGGCAGATGCCTGTGGTCCCAGCTGCTTGGGAGGCTGAGGCAGGAGACTCGCTTGAGCCCAGGAGTTGGAGGCTGCTGTGAGCTGTGATGGCACAGCACTCTACCCAGGGGGATAGCTTGAGGCTCTGTCTCAAAAAAAGCCCCCCAAAAACCAGACATTTGATGTTATAGTGATATAGATACAATATTTACATATCGTCACATTTAGGGTAAGAAACTGTGACATTAGAGATGAAATTTGTTCCCACCTTTTTTAACAGAATCCTTGTTGCCTGATGACTATGTGGTTCCCCTTGACGGGAAGACATTGAAGATGATCTATTTGCAATGGAAAACATCAGTGGAGGTATATCTTTATAGCTTGCTTTTCTTTTTTTTTCTTTTTGAGACAGAGCCTCAAGCTGTTGTCTTGGGTAGAGTGCTGTGGCATCACAGCTCATAGCAACCTCCAACTCCTGGACTTAAGCGATTCTCTTGCCTCAGCCTCCCAAGTAGCTGGGACTACAGACACCCACCACAACGCCCGGCTATTTTTTGGCTGTAATTGTTTAGCAGGCCTGGGTTGGATGCAAACCCACCAGCGCTGGTGTACCTTAGCCGCTTGAGCTACAGGTGCCAAGCCATCTTTATAACTTTCAAAAAAGGCCTTCTCCAGCTGGTTTCTTTAGAAATAAAATTAAAGTTTCTATCCTTATTCTCCCCATCCAAACCCTCCCCAGTCTCTGGAAACTATAGTTCCAGTCTCTACTTGGTAAGATCAACTTTTTTTTAGACTCTGCATACCAGTGAGATCATACAGTGTTGTCTGTGCCTGGCTTCAGTTAACAGAATTTCTTCCAGGCTTATCCATGTTGTTACAAATGATAGGATTTAATTCTTATTTTTATGGCTGAATAGTATTCCATTATATAAGTTCTGGTGTTCTATTGCACAGTGTGGTGACTATAGTTAATAATATTTATTTCAGGCTCGGTGCCTGTGGCTCAAGTGGCTAAGGCGCCAGCCACATACACCTAAGGTGGCGAGTTCGAATCCAGCCCAAACCTGCCAAACAACAATGATGGCTGCAACCAAAAAATAGCCGGGCGTTGAGGCAGATGCCTGTGGTCCCAGCTACTTGGGAGGCAGAGGCAGGAGATTCGCTTGAGCCCAGGAGTTGGAGGTTGCTGTGAGCTGTGATGCCACAGCACTCTACCCAGGGGGACAGCTTGAGGCTCTGTCTCAAAAAAAAAAAAAAAAATATATATATATATATAATATTTATTTCAAAATAGCTTGAAGAAAGGATTTTGAATGTTCTGGCCACAAAGAAATACATTTGTGAGGTGATAGATAAGCTGGTTAGTCTGATTTGATCATTACATAATCAGTAAAGCATCGCATTGCGTCCCATAAACATGCACAGTTGTTACAAGTAAATTAAAAACTATGGAATGGGGGCTGGGTGTGGTAGCTCATGCCTGTAATCCTTGCACTCTGGGGTGCCAAGGTGGGTGGATTGCCTGACCTCACAGGTTTGAGACCAGCCCGAGCAAGTGAGAGACCCAGTCTCTAAAAATAGCTGGGTGTTGTGGCAGGCTCCTGTAGTCTAGCTACTCTAGAGGCTGAGACAAGAGAATGCTTGAGCCCAAGAGTTTGCAATGCCAGGCCACTCTACCAAGAGTCACAAGTGAGACGCAAAACAAAAGCAAAAAGCAAACAATAGAATGAAGAAAGTAAAACTGTAGAAGAACTGTTTATCAAACTCAAGAGGGAAATGCTACATGCTTTCCATTAAATTAGAAAAATAATGTGTGTAAATGGATAAATAAGATAGACATGCTGTCTTTCAATCAGTTCCCAAGAGAGATTGCACTTAATTCCTGCATGCAGTACTGTGTTGTGTATGCAGGTGTGAGACCTGCTGTGGGTGACTGAGGAGCCCGTTAGGAGAGGTTTTTTTTGAGACAGAGTCTCAAGCTGTCACCCTGGGTAGAGTACTGTGGCATGATAGCTCACAGTAACCTCCAACTCTTGGGCTTAAGCGATCCTCTTGCCTCCATTTTTCAATTTTTAGTAGAGACAGAGGGTCTTGCTTTTTTGCTCAGGCGGGTCTTAAATTTGTGAACTCAAGCAGTCCACCCACTTCAGCCTCCCAGAGTGTTAGGATTACAGGTGTGAACCACCACACCCAGCCTAGGAGAGTTTTTATTCTTCATTATATCTTTTCTCCTATCTAGCCCTCAGTCTTATCTTGTTATGATAGAGTAACAGCCATAAAATAGATTCATATTTATGTGACTTGGAAGCATCTCATTATTGTGATCTGGTCATCTGTAGTGAATGAAAGACATGACTATTCTGAGAGCCGCTCATCTTCCAGGGGACTGGGGGAGGAGAATGCCAAGAGAAACTCCACAACAGCCAGTATTCTACCTGATACAGGGGAGGCAGCTGGGCCTCTGTCTTCTTTAGTTGGTAGTGACTTATATATGCCCAAAGGCAATGATAGGGTTATATTTTGAAATAAATTATAAAATCAAAATGTAGTGAAAAATTATAGGACTAATAGTTCAGGATAGTAGGCATTTTTTTAACTCTTCACATAAACATAGCTGTGTGAAAAGTAGACCCATTTTATGTGTCTGTTTAGTAAAACCAAATACATTTTTATAAACTTCTTATTCCTCCTTATTCTCCATGAAGGCCTTATTGCTACTTAGAACACAAGCTCCACATACATACACGGAACAATACTTTAAATGTTAAAATTGACATTTGTAGTGGTTACATGTCTTTTGCCATTTTAGGAATGTCCCCACATGAGTAAAATGACAGTGCAAACTTACTCCAATGCCAAATATTAATCATTATTTTATGTATTTTAATTATAATTTCTAGAAAAGACAGAAGAAGATTGGTTAAAAAATGAGAATTCCTTGAACAGTAAGTACACCTTATTTCAGAGAAATCTTTATGATAAGAAGGAAGTAATGTTGACATTCATTGGTTGTATTAGTGTGTGTGAACCATGATTGAAGAGTAAAATATAAAAAATGCGGTTTGTTATCATAGCAACCCTGTGTGCCATTGCACATGTGATATTTTTATTTCCTTTAAGTGAAATACAACAAAGCTTAGATTGTTGCTCCCAAATTTACTTTCCCACTTTATTGGCTAAAACCAGGGGTCCTCAAACTTTTTAAACAGGGAGCTGGTTCACTGTCCCTCAGACCATTGGAGGGCTGGACTGTGGGCCCTGGGAATGAGTCACAGGCAGTGGTGGCAAAAACACCCGGCAGGCTGGATAAATGTCCTAGGTGGGCTGCATGTGGCCCGCAGGCCGTAGTTTGAGGACGCCTGGTTAAAACATATTAGAGTTTTTGAGCATTCTGTCAACACACAATTTGTGAGAGATTTCATTCCTTGGATTGGTATAAGATAAGAGCTAGAAGTATTAGGAGTATAGATTATATTTAAATATTAAAAGATTCTCTATGAAAAGAGGTAAGACAAATAGAGAAACTAATATTTTATACATATATATATATACACACACATATGTATAGGTATGTGGGGTTTTTTTGCGACAAGAGTCTCACTATGTCACCCTTGGTAGAGGACCATGGCGTCACAGCTCACAGCAACCTCCAACCCTTGGGCTTAAGCGATTCTTTTGCCTCATCTTCCCAAGTTGCTGGGACTACGGGCACTTGCCACAAGACTGGCTATTTTTTTCCTGTTGCAGTTGTCATTGTTGTTTTAGTAGACCCAGGCGGGGTTCGAACCTGCAACCTGTACATGTGGCCAGTGCCATAACCTCTGTGCTGTGGGCACTGAGCCTTGTTTTTGTTTTTTTTGAGACAGAGTCTCACTTTGTTGCCCTTGGAAGAGTGCCGTAGCATCATAGCTCACAGTAACCTTAAACTCTTGGGCTCAAGCGATTCTCTTGCTTCAGCCTCCCAAGTAGCTGGGACTACAAGTGCCTTCCACAATGCCCAGCTATTTTTAGAGAGGTCTTGCTCTGGCTTAGGCTGCTCTCAAACCTGTGAGCTCAGTCAATTCACCCACCTTGGCCTCCCAGAGTGCTAGGATTATAGGCGTGAGCCACCGCA